TTCCTTTTTCTGTTTTTCCTTCTCTTTTTCAGTTGATTCTGAAAAATTCTTAAAGCGATTCGGATAGTCGGAGTTCGGATAATTGGAGTTGTACTGTATTTCCAAACTAGCCAATGACTTACCATCTTGCATTACTATAAAATGTGTAATGCCTTCGAGTGATGTGCTGTCGGACATATAAGTCAGTCCTTTGCTACTGTATCAGACATAAACTAATCTGCTTATCAGACATAAATTAATATCTTGTGATCGAAAACAACACATTTGTAGTAAAAGTTTTAATTTTACTCCAAAAATATAAATTATTTGCAACTGATATTTGATAATATATTTAAAAATATGATGTGCATTTACTGGAGTCCCAAAATTAATGCAAAGTTTTCGTGTTGACCATCATGGTTGACATTCTCGTTTTGCAAAAATTTGTAAGATGTGCATTTAAAGTGTTATTAATAAAAATGACTTAGTTTTTTATAAAAAATAGTATTGAATTTAGTGTACTTCTGTATGCGCAATTCTGCTTAGTTCAATTAACCAAAAAATTATGTATAAGTAACATAAGATTAAATTTAAATTTCTTCAGCCTAAGAGCTCATTCGATAATTTACCACGAAAGTTTCATGTTCTTTTAATTCACTTTCCTTATCCTATTCATAATCTCATTTTCTAAACCCCTTGTCCTTATGAAATGCTTTTCGAACTAAATAACGTCTCTAAATTTTGAAATACCGCTAGAACTTCCGAATTTGCCGGAAATCTTTGGACACAAATTTCTTTTTCCTATTAGACCTTCAACTTTCTGCAATTATCATTTGTTCTTACATGTAAGAAGTGTAGTACCCTGATAACTTTAAGAAATATAACTCCTTACTACCCTGATAACTTTAAGAAATATAAAAGTATACAGTTATTTAAAACTGTCGTAAAACAAACGATAGCTACATTTGGTTTTCTATATTTGCCCCAATCACTGATGGTGTAATAGCTTCAGACATTTTGGTTATGAAATCATCGTCATTAGACAGGCTGTAATGGCTTGTTCCCAGAGTAGTCTTTTTTTTGCTAAAATCATCTCGCATTTTGTATTCCACAGTAAGAGAATTTCCTAAGAGTTAGGAGTAATAACCTAACTATAAATTCAAAATAAGCTAACTGTAGAGTCGTTAGGTTATTTTGAACCAGGAGACTTGAAAAATGAGCAATGCCCTTGCCAGGTCTCGAATCTGGACCTCTCGAGTATGCACTGAATGTGCTACCTTTACTCTACGAAGGCATGAAGGAAGAAGAAAATACCTTACATACTCCCTCTTTTAAAAGGCGATTGGGGATCCGGGGACCCACTCTCCAAATCCTTGTGGTGACGAATTATTATCCACCTCCTTTTTAGTTCGGGCCCCACTGTAGAAACATTAGGTTATTTTGAAGAAGAAGACGAAAAATGAGCGACGTCCTCGCCGGAAGCCTGAACCTCTCGAATACGGGTCGAGTGTGCTTATCGTTACACTACGAAGGCATGCTGGAAAAGGGAGAACACATCTTATAATACTGTAAATGGCATTTTTGCACAGAGTATAATAAACGGTATTTTCATTCGAAAAATAGCTTTTAGAATATATTCAAAGAAGCAGGGATTCAGTTTATTTCCATTTCAGCTGAAGTCTGTCATGCACTTTAGTCAAAAATTTGGATTTGTGTTATTTGAGTGAGGTAAAATTCTCTAGCGAAATTTTTTTTTTTTTTTTGAATTTGCTTTCTTCATATTTTTAGAATTTGCTTTCTTCATATTTTTAATTAGGCCTCCTTTATATGAATTACTAATTTAATACCTTCATTTTAATGTTCTAAAAGCAAACTTTTATACTGAGCGCCTCCTGAGATAACCACTGACCTGACTTTGTTGTAAAAGTCTTACAGTGTTAATAGTCATCCCGGCAGAAGGGAAAATTTCCTCCGTGTAAAAATATACATATAAATATTACACGGGCATACAAGGCCTGTGTATCAGCATAGATATGTTGATTACAATCATTGTCTTGTACAAGTTACATATGATAGATACATAAAATCATGACAGCTATGTGTACATTTAAACATTATATGAATTCATATTTACAATACTTTTACTGAGATAATCAAATTAAACTTGTAATTCATTTACACATTGACTGGATTTTCAATATCATTTAAACTGCTTTACAATATTATTTTTATCAAGTACATACAAACTGGATAGTAATATGCTTACATTACAATAGTTTTGCTCTTACAGTCCTGTTATTATTCTACGGGGTGAGCTATTTTTCTAGTATTGATATTCAGTTGTTGTAGTATTTTGAATTGCTCTTAAAATTATGCTGCGAAGATACAATTCTCAAGGAAGGTGGAGAATTTCTTAGTACCTTGCTGAGCATAGCCTGATTACCTCCTCTATTTTAGTTTTCGTCTGCTTGTTGCCGCATGTATTCTCCGCCCATTGCGGCCAGTATTCACTGCTTGGCATTTTTAAATGTAGTTTATCGGTTTGTGGGCAGTTGAAGAGGAAGTGATCTGCATCACCTACCGCACCACATTCACACAATTCTGATGCTCGTATGCCGAATCTCTTAAGATAATGTGGGAAGGGACCATGGCCAGTGTAGAATTGAGTTTGTGCTCCGCTGTATGTATTAACTGAGCACGTGACTTTCGGAAAGAACTTGTAGGTTCTTCTCCCTATGCTTTCCCTTTCCCATCTTTTCTGCCATTCTTGTAAAAGCTATTGAGCGTGGTTTTTTTTAAATAGGACTGCGGAACACTTACTGCGTGTTCCAATCTACTGGAGTTATTGGCAGCAGATCCGCCGCTTCGTTGCCAGTAAACCCACATGGGCTGGAATCCAGATCAGGATAGGTCTGTCATCTGATGGGATAAACTTTGGCTCCAAACTTGAGGCAGAGTCGCTGTATATGTTGACCTTTAATCCTAATTGATATTTTGCCAAATTGATGGCTGCTTTTAATGCAAGAAGCTCTGCCTGAAGGACGGTATTCTTGTCTGCCAGTCGTCTTTCCCAAGTTTTAACCACTTCTCCTTCTTGGAGTACACAGTAGGCGCAGACTGTGCCTTTCTCCGTCTTTGAGCCATCTGTATAAATAGCAAATGCCTTCTCATTTGGCGGGCGTGTATTTCATGTATATTGTGTACGATAAATCAGTATCTGCAGGATGTCCAAGCATGATCGGCTTGCGCTTCTCCTCATGGTCTGTATGGTAGAATGTCTTTTGCCACAGAAGAGACGTTATTTTCCAGGCGCAATGTCCTTAATGATAGTGATTCTCTCTCCACTAGCAGGTCCAGTGGAGGGATACTCGCCAGCACTTGCAGTGCCGCAGTTGGGGATATTCTATAACATTTGCATATGATCAAAAGTTGCATTCTTTGGATAGTGAGAAGGTGCCTCCTCATATGGGCAGTAAGCTTCCGTTTCCATATGGCAGCCCTATATAATATGATATTTTCTGAGATTGTTCTGTACCAGCTTTTGAGCATAGTGATTGCAGTGCCCCAATGAGGTCCTGTTGTTCTAACCATGGAATTACTAAGATTGATTTATTTTCTGCTTAAGCTCTTTAATATGTGGTATCCAGGAAAGCCTATTGTTAATTATAATACCTAGATATTTAAGGTCAGTGACTTTTTTAACAAAGACTTCATTTAGCTTAATGTTGGGAATCCTATTTCGCGCTCCATGCCTGCATATAAACAGTTGTTTAGTTTTATCTGCTGAGATATTTAAATTGTGCTGATTTGCCCAGCTTGCAAAAGTATTGATTGCGTTTTGTACCTTTAACCTAATGTCCGTGCTACCAGAAATGACCAATAAAAAGTCGTCTGCGTACGCCTGGATACCCACTCCTTGCTGTTGGTCATAGAGCGCAAAGGCTGTGTTCCCTACAAGATTGTAAAGTGTAGGTCCCAAGCAGGAACCCTGGGGACAGCCTCTTTCCAACTTGACTTTGAGTACATCATTGTCCGTTGTAACCTGTATCCAACAATCCTGCAAGTAGCTGCGTATAAGATTCAGGATTTCCTTTGGCCATTTGATGATGTCTAGGCATTCTACTACATCTGGCCACCACAACGAGTCGAATGCCCCTTTGATGTCCAACGAAATAACCAGTGTGTTCAAATTGTTGTCTTTGTTCTGCTCTATGTTATCTAGCAGTTGTTTTAAGGCATTGTCTGTGGACTTTCCTGCGCAGAAGCCATATTGTTTTTCATTTAAAGACTTGTTCCTGCACATGTGGAAATTAAGGCGTTGCAGAATTACTTTTTCTAAAATCTTACTGATTGAAGGCAGTAAACTTATAGGCCTATAAGATGCCGGGTCTGACAAATCTTTGCCCTGCTTGTGAAAGAGTGCAATTTCGGCTAGTTTCATGCTTCTAGGGAAGTGGCCGAGTCGCCAGCAGGCTCTGCATAGTTTTGGAAACAAACCTGGAAATTCTTTGTGAATTTCTTTAACATTGATATTATCTATGCCATCGGGACCTGGTGCTTTTTTGTATGCTAAGGCTTTGATGATATTATGAACTTCGTGGTCTGTAGGTAAGGTCTTTACTGTATTTTTCGTGCATGATAATATATTTTCCGTATTATGATTTTTCAAAGAATTCAACAATAGTGAATAATACTAATGCATATTTTTACTGAAATACACAGATGATAATTGATCCGAAATAAGTATTCACGCATAAGTATGGAAGCTATACAAAATAATGGTATAATGGAAAAAAAAACCCGCGAAAAGTGAGTCCTAATAAAATTTTAGCTCGATACTTTGTGGCTTCAGAGAAATCCTATAAGAGAAGAACAGTGAATTTAAATTGAAAAATGAATCAGTTTGTATTATTATGAGCGCTATGTTAATGTAATATGATGATAAGATAGCACTTAAATTTTAAATTAATTAGTATTTATTGAAAGATTTTAATTATTTAAAATTTCTATATTTATTTCAGACAACAGATGCCTCAAAGCCTGGAATCTCAAATCACAATGGAAAAAACTCCGAGCTATTTCATCACACGTGAGGTCCCTCAGCGTCTTCATCGTATGTCACCTTCTGTCAAATTGATCGTAGTAGTCAGAGACCCTGTCACCAGGGCTATTTCCGACTATACGCAGACTGCTAGTAAAAGAGGTGTTCGATCAAGTCCTTCTTTTGATGCAATGACTTTTCGTAATTCTACAACAGGGCTTGTGGACACGTCATGGAGTGCCATTCGAATAGGAGTTTATTCACGCTTTCTCGAATTGTGGATGCAATACTTTCAGCTTCGACAGATCCACTTTGTAAGCGGTGAGAACCTCATCAAAGATCCAGCAGGTGAGATGGCTCGAGTCCAAGACTTTTTGGGGCTGAAACGGGTCATCACGGACAAACACTTCTATTTTAACGAGACAAAAGGATTTCCATGTCTAAAGAAATCTGAAGGCAACGGCAATCCCCATTGTCTTGGCAAAACCAAAGGGAGGACACACCCAGACATATCTCCCTCCACAGTAACTAGGTTACGAGACTTTTATCGACCTTTTAACCTCAAATTCTATCAGATGGTCGGGAGGGATTTTGGATGGCTATGACGGAACGCGGGGAACCCTTCGACAAATCATATCAAGGAGAGAAATTGTGTTTACTGAACTTTCCGGTGAAAGTCCTTTTGTCATTTCGTTTTGGCTAAGAAAGAATTGTCTTAGAAAGGGATATAATGCCGGGTAACTTAATAATTATAAGAGCTTGTGTCGTGGGTGTTCCATAAGACAAAAAATATTGCACTGAAAGCATTGCCAAAAATATCTATCGACTATCACATAAATGTATGTCTTTTTTCTTAAAAAATCATATCTGATTCCATTTAATCAAGCTGAATTACTTTTTTATTAAAATAAAAAATAGATATTACGGTTAAGACGAAATTCTTTCAAATGTTTATTACTAATATTTACTACTACTTGGCGATTTGAATGGCCGAGAAAGAAAAACTATTTTTAACGTTATACAATTTATAATGATTTGTCATTACTCTCGCCCCGCTAAAAACAAAATGACTTTTGTTAATAAAAATAAAAATATTTTATTATTTCCTAATCTGCGGAATAGTTACAATTGAATTTTAATAACATTATGCATAATAAAATTTATTTTATTTATAAGAGAACAAAATATATTTCACTTTTATTACAGTATTACATAAAAAATTAACTTTTGTAATGCTATAGGGTTTTTGAAAGATGTTACCTTAGTATAAATTTTATTAAAAATTAAATTATATATTTTGATTCCAGCCCAGATGCGTCAATACAAGAATCCTATACCTATGGATTTAACAAAAAACAAAAAAAAAAAAAAAAAAAATCTTTTAACACTCAATCAATATATTAAATCAAGGACATTGAATTATTAACCAAGTGCTCTAGAGTAAATGACAAGTGCTTTAGAGTACATTTAAATGTGAGCAACAAGATGTTATCTAAAATTATTTGAACAAAAGTCATGCACGGTGTATTTCAAAACGGTTGCACGTTTAAGTACCTAATTAGTGACAGATCTATAATTCCACTTTAAGGAATTAATGAAATCAGATGACCTTTCAGAGTAGAGAAGTTTTAATTATGTTACGCTTGTTAAAAACCGTTTTGTAATAATGAGTAAAACTGACTGACCAGTCAGCCAAATCATTTAATTCCTTTTCCTTTCGATGGAAAGGAACTTCGAAAAACACTAATTTTAGGAAGCGTATAAAATTGGAAACTTTTAAATAAAGCATGCAAATGGAAATTTAAAATCGATACTCTATATTCATATTTGTCTTATAAAAAAAATATTTTTAAACATCTTTTTATTCTAGGATTAATTTGAGAATCTTGATTGCAATATTTCTATAGGTACTCGGAAATTTTAATTACTGATATCTAGAATAACTTTAGTATTATGAGTTTAATTTTATTCTTAGTATTATTTTTCATTCGATAACAAAAGGTATTTATGTCATTAACACTTTTTTTCTATAAAAGGCGTAATAAATTAAACTTAAATTTAATAATTAATTAAAGTTTTACAAAATTACTTAAAGTTAGTTTAAAACTAACTAATTAAAGAATAAAACTAATTAAAGAATAAAACTAATTAAAGAGTAAAACAAATCTAAAAAAACTAATTAAAGTTTTATCAAAAAAAAAAAAAAAAAACTCGTGGCAAAACTTCTGATGGAACCATCAGATTATAACCGTAGTTCAAAAGAATTTTAGTTATATAATCATTTTAAAACCTCTCTGCAAATTATGTTATGCTATCACATTTACCGCTTTTGAGAAAGGCTCAAATACCTGCTGTCAGAAGCTTAAGGATCATGCGCATCTTCCGTTCCAGACCTTCCATGCAAAATACAAGTATTAGCTATGAATAAACCAACTATCGGAAAACAAACCCTTTGCTTTAAAATATTATTTTGTATTTTAGGTATGAGAGATTAAATTTTGCATGCATAATGCATGAACAATGTAACTTGTACATTTTGCCAAATTGAAAGGAAGTTATATTTGCTTGATATATTTTGCTTGATATTTATGTACTTCACAAAAAAATACGATGTATAGTTATATTTATGTTTTGCATTATTCATCCCATCACATATTAAAATATTGAGAAATTTTTCCTAATTATATATGTTATTTTGTTTTTAATTGCATTTTTATTATTAAAACCGCATTTAGTTTTCAATTGTTGATAAACTATGTACGCACACAAATTTGCTATACGAATATACATTTTCATTTCATAAAATTGTATATGCCAAATATTTGTGTAAATGTAAAAAAATAAACAAATGAAGAGTTATTTTTATGTTTCTTTGAATGTGAATAGAATGTGATGATGGTAATGTGTTTCTTTTTGTATTTATTGAAAGTAACTCTTTGTATGAAATTACATTCTGGAGGATTTATAAAATCATGTAAATAAAAGTGTACATTATTCATATCCATTGATAGTGTCTTCTTTTTTTAAATTTTTTAAATGTTTGATTAATAAAATATGAATGAAAGAAAACATTTATTTATAAAGAGGTTAAAGACAATACAAAATACTGGCTTCGTTATCTGTTTGTTACAAGTTCTGATATATACAGTTAGATCTTTAATAATTTTGATATTTTAATTGCTTCGCCGACTTAATATAAATTAATACCATGTGTAGATGTAATAGAAATTGTCTTAATTATGTGCTGCATTATTTTGTATTAAACTCTTATTATAGTGATTCGATATTTTTCCACGAGAATCTGTTAAGAATTCGAATTGAAATACAGATTCCTGGTTTAACACAGGCAGTCAAAATTTAATTCCTTGTTCTCAATCATGATTGCATATACATTGCGTAGATTTTGCGTACTGGTCAAAAACAATTTGTTTCCACTCGCCAAGAGCGAAGAAGCATTAATTTCCAACTTCTTTATCGGGCTTATGACATGTATTTTTGAAAGCAGTAGAGATGAAAAACTAACAACGCCTTCGCTGGAAATCAAACCACGGCCTTCTGGAATACGCGCAGCGTACAGACTATCAAGCCAGGAAGGCATGCCAAGAAGGCGGGAGAAATAACCTTATAGACATTTCAGTGCAGGTTCCGATAAAGTGATCGAGTTTTCTGAAGAGAAAGAAAAATAGAGGAGAGAAACAAAAATAAGGAGAACCTGCTATGTTAATGAAAGTTGTAATAGCAGCCAACTACAGGTGAGCTACGTCCTGTCTGTAAGCGTAAAATTTTTAAATATTTTTCTTTGATTTGTGATAATGAAACACAAAGAATTTTCAGAACTTTTAATGAATCTGGGAATCACAGTACTCAAAATAATTATCTTGCCGATTGTTAAGTTTCAAAATCATTTTATGTCTTATTTTATCCTTCCTTATAGATGCTACCAGATTTTATTATTGCGTATGTATTTTTTTTTTGTCTTGTTTTTTGCGGCTGCAGATGTGAAACCCCAAAACATCGAAGAATTCCAAGGAGGTTAGAATAAATGGAGCAAGTATGACATCACAAAAATGAAGACAAGCAAATGTCAACAACGTGAAGTCACGACTTAACCATGGCAGGCAGACAGGATAAGGGTAAGACTATGGAGTAAAGTGTTAAATAAACTTACGCTGTCTTTGAGAGCAAATATAAACGTCCGGTATACACTGACTACCAATAAGTATTTGGACACTTATGCAAATGACGATATCTGCGGTCCAAAAGTATGTCACGGACTCCGCCGGTATATATTGTGTAGGAAACAGCATCGGTTTTAGTCGCATGCAAGATGCCTCTCAGTTCGGAGCTTTCTGATTTCGAGAAATGTATAATTATCGGGTATCACAAATGTGGCCGATCCTTAAGAGACATATCTAGCGATCTGAACTACCCAAAATCGACAGTGACCCATGTGATTAAGAAGTGGAAGGTGAGCGGTGATTGTCGGAATGTGCCCCGAGTCGGCAGACCAACGAAACTGGGATATAGAGACCGACGAGTGCTGTTCAGAGAAATTCGGAAGAACCGCACCCAACCGATGGCCCTCATCCGCGAGAAGTTTCAACAGGCATCCGGGAGTATTGTTTCAATGAATACCATCCGTAAGGAAGCACATCTGCTTGGTTTTCATGGTCGTGCTGCTGCCCATAAGCCTTTGATCACAAAGTCCAACCGCGCTGCTCGGTTAATGTGTTGCAAAGCACATCGAAATTGGACCGTAGATCAGTGGAAACGGGTTCTTTGGAGTAATGAATTAAGGTTCACCCTTTACCGTTCGGATGGCAAGGTCTGGGTCTGGCGTCTACCTGGAGAGCGTCTCCTGCCAGAATGCATTGTGCCAACAGAAAAGTTCGGTGGAGGTGGAATTATGGTCTGGGGTTGTTTCTCCTGGAATGGGCTGGGACCCTTGGTCCCCATTCATGGTAAGCTCAACTCCGATGCCTACTGCACTATTTTTGATGGCAATCTGCTTCCTACGTCGTGGCAGTTTTACGGGTTACTTTCAGGACGACAATCTCAGTTGCCATGTTTCGACGTTAATCAAGGCTTGGTATGGTACCATATGGAGTTCATCGAATGGACTGGCCTGCCCAGAGTCCAGACCTGAACCCTATCGAGAACTTCTGGGACGAGTTGCATCGCCGAATTCAGGGGTGCACTACCTGTGCAAAATCGGTGAAAGAACTTCTATGTCTTCTCCAAGCCGAGTGGGAAGAAAATACCACTAGCTGTCATACAAAGACTTGTGGAAAGTATGCCCCGGAGGGTCCACGCTGTAATTACCTCTCGTGGAGGCTCTACCAACTATTGATATTGAATATAGTTTTTCTTTTCTATCACAGGTGTCCAAATATTTATTGGCAGTCAGTGTATAGGCATAAAAAAAGAAACCTGGCGTAAAATGCTGTTGAAACTTTCATTGCTGTTCTAGGTTTACCATGTCGTATCATTATCATTTACACATTTTCATGCACCTACATTTTATCGAATTTGAAATAGTTATTTGCTATTCTTGTGAATTTTCTATGTACTAGGTAGTAAATCATTATGTGAAGTTTTAAAATTAGAACGGGAGCTTATAACCATTCAATTATGAAAGCTAACATGTACACAACAAAGGTTAGAATGTACACAAAACCAACCAGAAGCTCGCCTATGGCAGCGGTCCTGATAAGTCGCAACGTCGTACCATGGCGTTTCATGGCTTCATTTTCATCACACGTTGCATACAGAAGGGGCTTACTCAATTTATTTTAACCTCCTTAGAAGAATTTAGTAATCAGTGAAATTGTCAGCATGTTAAAATTCTACTACTGCATGTGTAAAACAAACAATCTAGTGTAGTACGATAAATTCAGAGATTTTTTTTAATTCTAAAATCGTATTCGGCTACCCAGAAATTGTTATTTTTTAATTTCCGAACATCTCGAGTTATAATGATTAATGTGATTTATTTCTCTTATTACAGTGATTCTCAAACAGTAGTACGCGTATCACTGGTGGTACGCAAAATAAAAATAGGTGGTACGCAAAGAAACAAAGTATTTTAGCTATTAAATTCCCCAACAGCCTATTCAAGTATTTTTCTCTAACAATCGTTAATTTATGCGATCTGAGCTTTGCTCAAGGTCAATAGCCGCTCACAGACATTAGCAAAATAAAATATTTTCATTTTCACAAGTATTTATTTAGCAATAGACATAACGAAATCATTCATAAATGATGTTTTTAAAAGGAGTAAAAGAAATGAATGTTGCATTTAATAGGAAATAAAAATAAGTTCCTATAAAAAGATAATAGAATCTCGTTAATTCTTT